GTCCCTTCTACTATTTCAGATAGTTATTAACACTTTCAGCCAGTGGTTTAGAAATATTGGTGCCATTGAGATAAAGGGAGAAGGAATAAAACAATGCAATGGAGAGGTAGAAAAATGGCACACAGGAACTTGCATAATAATCTCCAACAATGTTTTAGAAACCAAGTTCTGGACAGAAATCTTGAGTTCCAAGACACAACTCTGCAACTAATTATCTGACAAGCAAGGTAGAGATATGTGACCTTTCTTAGTTTCCTTAACCGTAAAATACAGAAGATTAAATGCTGGCCTGAGACCTGTCCAATGTTAACATTCTATGGAATGAACAGTAGTTTATGTGTCTTTATTATTACCATGATCATCCCAAAATTTGTTTTAACTCTCAGCACTATTCAACTCCTGGAGAAACAAAATAAAGTCCTTTAAAAAATTATTCAGTAGCTTCCACAGTGGCATTTATTATTTTTCCCAGCTAAATTGTTGTCTTGATATAATGATAATTAGTAGAAATGCTGAGATGGGAAAAGTGTACTCCCACTTTTTAGAAGTCAAACAAGCATATAGACTATGAATCACACTGAAGTTCCTTCAATCAAAGCTGGATTGTTATCACATTTTTAAGTAAATAATTGATGGGAAGTCATATCATAACCTGAAACTGCAATTTCTAGGTTAACCTGAAGACAATATTTTTATTAATGTATGCTACCAGTGAAATTTATTGGTACATTTTTCTCCCCAGAACATCACTGATTTTTTTTTGCTGTAATAAATTAACATTCCTGTCATTAGACAGAAATAATAAATTCAAGAACCAGTGAAAACAAAAAATGAGGTGTAGCATGAACAGGATTTTACAATTAATCAAGGGAGTCATTTTGACATCTCATTTTTATAAAGAAGCAAAACTAAAAACTTACAAGTGCCTGCTATTTATCCACATACTATATATTCATAAATAGTGAGCTATGTACTTTTCTAACACAAATTTTTCTATTCAGCAAATAGTCTTTGAGCACCTATATTACATGATGGGCACTCTAATAGGCCCTGTGGATATACTGTAGATTTTCAAAGAAAGTCAGGAAAACTAGTGAAGTGTGAAATCTTGTCCATCACCCAGAAAGTACAATATAATTTTTTTTGTATAAAACGCAATGCAATAATTACTTTTCTCAATAAAGTTGAACTAGACCAAGGTAAAAAATATAATAATGAAATATATTCAAGTGCTTAACTATTTAAAACATTCAGGCTTTAAGGGAACTATCACATCTCTAGCCACAGAAGTATGGGCAAAGCATTCTAAATATTCCTTCTTTCCCACAACATATATTATGTTTTATTTCATATTCAAATTTCAAGAATATTAATACATGGTAATTTATTTCATTTTGCTTTTGAAGTTTAAGCAGTAGCATCTTATTTGGGAGGAGGGAAGTTAGAGACTAAAGTGAGAGGGATGAATATGTTTATACTGAACTCCATCCTGAAGGCATTTTTTATTGCTCACAATAATAGTCAGCTGGGTAATGTTGAGGGTTTCAGCTGGGCTCAATTATGTGATTGCAATTAGCTGTGGGTTGGGAAGGCAATTTTGTTGATCTGCATTGCATGCTCTCACATGTTTGAGGTCAACTGGTCTAAGATGCACTCATTTGGAAAACCTGGGTGCTCTCATACTTCACAGAGTGATGATAGGGTTCCAACACAAACTAGGAAGAAAGTTCTCATGTCAACCAAGCGCTATCGGTCAAAGTAGTCAGAAGGCCAGTGCTACATGAAAGTAAAAGGGAATTATCGAGTCAAAAGCAAATGATGTGAATACAGAGGAACCATTAGTGGAAGTCATCAATGCAATCTGCCACACTGCTAAACAAGCAAGCACCACCAATCCTGTGTCATCATGGACACATGTACCAAGGTTTGCAAAAGTACTAAGGCGAAGGACCCTTTACATTTCCTTAGTGCAGACAAAGTTCTGACTCCATTAAAATAAGTGATTTTACTTTTGTTCTGAGTCATCGCATATTCCTTTCCTCTTCTAAGCTGAAGAGCTAGTTTGATCTACTCTTTAAAAATACTTTCTTTTTTTTCTTCTTGTGCTTTATACTATGAATCTCTTTGCCTAGAAGTTCTAGGCATAAATTCTGCGTAATAAAACAAATAAATACCCAGTCACACAGCCTACTAAAGCCATAAATCACAGGAAATAGCAAGTGTAAGAGATTAACATTGAAACTGAAACCGAGTTTTCCTTGTACACTCCTCTGGAATTCTGTAATGATATACACTTTCTTGAAGGAACATCTTGTGGTACCTGTGACACAGTATGGTTAGGTTTAAGTATAAAATACATAGGCAATTAGGAGAAAAAAACATTTTTTGAAAATAGGATCACATCTTTTCATAGACCTTAATGGTTCATGTGAAAGCATTTGGAAATTTCCATACTCTTCAAGAAAGAGAATATTAATGGAACAAAGGAGAATAATTATAAGAACATGAAGATAAATTATCAGGTACTGGGATTAATTCTCCTAATGCTAGAGAAAATCACCTCAACCCAGTGAGAGAAAGAGACTGGATGATAACTGACACTATCATTTCATGGAAGATCCCACCAAGACTTTCTGAAAAACCGAGTGGCAAAAAAAACAAGCATGATCTTGGAGAGTTCCCACCATACCCAACAAAGCTGTATCCTGTTTGACTCTCATTTTTCTGATCCTGGAGGTGAGTTTCACCTTGTGAAAATTCCTACCATGCCATTCTTATACTGATAAATCATAAGCCTTAACGCTACATAACCTCATTATCCACATACTTGCTTGGGATAAAAGCAAGATAAATATTTCTTGACACAACCACATAAACAGTAAGCAAAGAAGAACTTCTTCCAGCCTTTGAATGTCCAATTCCAAGGTTTGTTCTCTCCTGAATCCTGGTGGTACAACCTAAATATTTTGCCTTAATTTGGCATTGCAATTTCTATTGTCTTTTGTTTGCCCACAAATAGAATGTTTTCATGTGATTGCTATATTTCAGTAGGTAAATTATGTATTTAATATAGAGCTTAAAGTGTATGTATATAAAAATTATGCATAAAATATTCCACCTCATTTCTTAACTTAGATTTCTTCTCAGAAGCAGCAACTCTTAGTAGTTTTGCTCTTCTCTGAGAACAATTCTATGAATATCCAATCAAATTGTTTGTATAAAAAACCCTTTTAGAAAAAATAAAATGTAATATATACAGAAATGCACCTTGTTTTTTTCACCTAAGATGATCTTGGAAATTGTAATCATTACCTAATAGAGTGTCTCATTTATTTATTAGCTATGTGCTAATGCATTGTTTGAATGTATCATAACTTATTTTATTAGGTTATTAGATTGCTATTGGGGTAAATTCAGGATAAAACAAGTTTAACTAGTAAAAGCCTAGGGTCATGACTAAGAGTTTCCCTTGGAGCACAACTGAATTAGCATTTGCCACACCGTGACCAAACCCTGCTTTTCTGAAGCTAGAAGGGAGTCCCTAATAAAATGTATGATTTATTTGAGGCAAACCAAAACATACCTTTATAATTGGCCCTTTCAAACATTTTTACTTTCTCACCTATTCATATTTTCTTATGCTGTTCACTGAAAGCCATCCCTGCTAATTTTCACCAATTGTCAGTATTATTCTTGTTAAATTTCAACTGTTAAATTCCATTTCCTTCTGTAAGATTCCCACCATGACCCCCATAACCACCGAGCAGGAGGTGATTTTTTTCCCCATCAATTTCCTTTAGAGTCAGATTTGTAACATTGTGTCATCTTGAATTATGATTATATAAGTATTTGTGCATACTTACATTTGCCAGATTGAAATCCCATTGAAGTCTGTGATATACAAAACAAAGGGCTATCCTTCACAGGACTGTCTTGCATATATATTTGTGCATAATATGTGTTGCATAAATATATTCCTAACCTCTGAAGTGGAGTTAGTAACTTAATTCCACATTTTACTGGACTGAAATGTTTGGACTATATTGATATGTTAATGCAGAATTTTAAAAATCTCAACAAATACAATAATTCGATGATTTACAAAAAGTATTTTGTATCTTCTTCAGTACTCTATAGTGTTAATATATACATTTTGTTATTCTAGAAGAAGAGCTGCATAACAAGTAAGTCTTCCCGTTTGGGTCACAAACTCTGTAGGTCAAAACAAATTTTTTCCAAACAGCCTTGGTCAAGAACTAACAAATAATGTACACAAATGATTTTTAAAACACCATAAAAAGCAAAGGGCTACTTATTATTCACTGTTATAAAGCATCAGTCAGATTTTTCTTTCCTCACTATTCTTGGAGCATCAAGAAGCAATACATTTTAAAGCAAACATGTTGAATTATTTAAAATTATACTTCTCAAATATGTTCTACACAAAGATAAAATTAATTTATCTCCATTTTGGATTTGACCATGAATTCTTCTGAAAAAATAGCTGTAAGACTAAACTTTTTGGTAATTCTCTATAACAACATACCTAGGTTAGAGCTGGCTACTACCTTCAGTGCAATGTATATTTATGTGTACCTTGCTTTAACTATTAGAAACAATAGGCACCTAGAACAATCTTGAAATGACAAAAATATGAGGTATACAATGAAGATATAGAGGCTTAAAAACCTCTAGTAATGAATATAGAAAGATCATTATATCAGAAGTATAATACAGCATCAGTATAGCAGAAGGAAATAATGTAATTCACAATTAAAACAAAATTATATTTAACCAAATATCAGCCACATACACCCTCTTGTAGTTTAAGTCTATGTCTCTCTAGATATATGTCATCCAGTCTGTTCTTATAGTACTGTTATAACTGGGACAATTCAAAATATCCAAAATAATTAGGAATAGTTTAGTCTCCCCAAACTTGAAATTTTAACCGTTGAGTGTATAATAATAGATACTCGATGTATGCAAAGAAAACTTACCTTCTGTGTGCACAGCTGATACATAGGTCCAGTTGTACCTCTTCACTATGTCCACCATGGCCCTTGCCTGCTGAGCATCTGAAGGCACAACCCTCATGAAATATTTGAACAGAGTCTTGTCGCTCAGATCCATACTGGTTGCCGAATAAGCAATCTGAGGTATGTTGAAAAGCTGGAGCAAGTTCTGGACCTGAATGGCTACAGAACTGGAGCCAGGCCCAATGACCCCTACTATGGGCTTCTTGGAGCGGAAGGAAGAGGAGGAACCATCTACACAGCGTACCAAGCCCTCTTCCTCTTCTGAAGAAATGAGGGAATCTCTTATGAACTCAATGCTCTGCTCTAGGGCCACAGCCGAATGCCAGCAGGAATCCCTTATCTCACAGCCCAGTGTGATGTTGGGCAAGAGCGTAGGGTCTGAATTGATCCTTTCCAGGGTATGTAGCATGGCCTCCACTCTCTGAATGCCATACTGTTCACGGACCGCCCCACACTTCCTCTCATGAACTTTGTCCACAGTAGGCTGGTGATGAACAGAAAAGAGAGCTCCAATAATGATGTCACCTGGCATGTGAGCCACCACCCTCCTCTCACTGGACTGTGCACTCCCACGGACATCTTCTTTCAAAAGTAAGACTGACAGGATCAACAGAAGGACCATTTTAGGGAAGGAGTTCAAGCTAATAAAGATAGCATGGTGGGGAAAATTCAGGAGTGTTCTGATAGATATGAACAAGCGATGTCCTATGTTGAGTCGCAAATCAAGAAATTAGCCAACAATTCACATGTATTCTCTATAGGACCATTGTGTCCCCATGTACCATTCAGTTAGATGATCCATGTGGTCACGATCTTCTAAACCTGAAAAAAATAATAATAACATGGTTCTTTAACAAACATAAGTGCAACTAGTTTGAGGAAGTTCTATAATACATGTCAGCAAAAAAAACATTTTAATGATGCAGATAACAAAGAAAAAATAATTCAAAAACGTTTCTGACTTTCCTTTGTCTCCTTCCTTTATGATTTGATGAAGCAGCTGATGTAGCTTCTTGACTCTGCCTTGCTTAGAGTAATAGTCTTTATTTGTTCACCTGCAATACACAAAACCAAACCTTGTGTGTCGCAGTCAGAACTGTACTGTACTCTCAGGCAGAGATGACAGAGCATCCTAGAAGCAAAACTACACCAGGAACAGAAAACTTCAAGAAGTATGCACCCCAAAATATTAAACATTGGTGATCTCTCGGTAATGGAAGTGTGGCTAACTTTGTTAAATTTTCATTATGCTTTCTTTTCTTTTGATATATTTAGCATTGAACATGTAATTAATTATGCAATTACAAAAATAAAATTATCTTTTCAAAAATACCCCACATAATCTCTCCCCAAATGCAATGTCAAACAAGTTGAATAATTTTCCCAGGAATAAATAAGTATTGTGTCTAATTATTGTGGAAGATATAACAAAAACAAATGAAGAAAGGTGGATGTTTCATGTTAAACAAACTGTAGAAGAGAAAGGAAAAGGTTTGGAAATTATAGAGTACAATGTCCCCCAAATAGGCAGCAAGGAAGTGTCAAATTAGCACCATTTTTTAGAGAAAATGATATTCACATTTCAATCCCTGTTCTTCTATTAAGAAGTATTAGTAAACTGTTTAACCTCTCGGGACCAGAATTTGCTCACCTGAAAAATGGGGATACTATGTGCTAGGCTGTCCCCTATGTGAATCAATACAAGATATCAACTAAATAAATGCTTTATAAATTAAACAGGGAATATATATATATATTCAAAACGACATCTTTTTGTTATTAAATTTTCAAGGGCATTCTGTGGCTAGGTCGTGAGGACAGAAAATTCTCTGGCAACCTACTTGGTCCTCCAGAGAGACTTCAAAGTAATTACAGAGTCTTGTAATAAAATTCACAGTAATCAGTCCTCTAGCCCTGATCCAGAAAAAGATTCCAAATCACTAAGGCTCAAAAGTCTAAAAGGATGTATGTTTGGAACTATTCTGCCAGGTAGAAATTTAGTATAGCTGTGAATGTCATCATCTATTTCAATTTAAATTCCTGGGAAGAAAGAAATTTTGTCTCAAATTTTCTATGGCAAATTCTAGCATAATTTGTAAAAGATAACTGACAAATTAGTGATTTGATCACTTAGGGGAATTGTGTAAGAGACTTATTTTGTTATCAACTTTGCCAGCCAAGGATCTCAAATTATTTTAAAGTGACTATCTTTTTAATCACCGACTTTCAAAAACAGGTGATGTTTCTTCAGGAATGTATGCAAATATCACACTTTTACAAGAATACTAATGGTTTCAAAGGTCGTCAAATCTACAAAAATTTAAGACCAGACACAAAATGAACATAACTTGAATCATATTTCTAATCCCTCCTACCAGCATTTTCACTATTTCCTTCTACTGTTTCCTATGGCAACAGAGAAAGGCTTCCCCTGTACAGCGACAAAAGCTTAAATTTTTAATATTTCATCAAATAATCAGATGTTGCAGAATAACTAGACATTTGGGAATATATAGAAAAAAATAGTTTTGGTACGAAAGTTGGCATTGTAGACACGGAGGAACAAATGAAGACTAATGTTAGTTTTGTCATTGGCAAGTCATTTGAATACTACCAAATCTTTCTTTCACTTTCCTTAGACCCAAAATCTAAAATAATTATTCTCACGGTCATGTGAATTCTACTGTAGACAAAAAGAAAAATCTGAAGTTAAAGAAAGCACAATTTCTGATTAAATCAGAATGTTAGTGAGTAAACCAATAACAAAACAGGACTCATTTTTTATGTGAAAACATAAAAGTGATATGAGAGACCTAGTGTCCCATCAGCTCGTGTAGCTGAAATATCAATCCCATGCATTTTATTCATTTAAGTTGTTTTATGAAACCCCTACATATTGAGATACAGTATATATATTAAAACACTAAAATATTGCCTTTTTGAAGTTATGTGAAATTTGTTACTTATTTCATTTAACAAAAAATTATTAACTATTTAGTGAAAGAGAGTAATGTAAAAAAGAAGTGTAATAATATTCATTGGTAAGTATCATTATTATCTTTCTTTGAGCACCTAACATGCCTCATCTATTCATTAACTCATTTAACAAATATTTATAGTATGTATATGCTATTATTCTGTCCTGGGAATTGAATATTCAAGAGTAAGCAAAATATACAAGCGCCCTATACTTGTGGGCCTTACATATTGGCATTCTAAAGGGTAACTTTAGCTGAAACCTGATGAATACAAAGAAAAGTAAAGATCAAATGGTATTTCTGTCTTTAGGTCTTTGGGGAATCACCACACTGTCTTCCACAATGATAGAACTAATTTATACTCCCACCGCAGAAATACTATTCAACCCTGCAATCCCATTACTGGGTGTATACCCAAAGGAATATAAATCATTCTATTATAAAGACACATGCACACATATGTTCATTGCAACACTATTCACAATAGCAAAAACATAAAATCAATCTAAATGCCCATCAGTGATAGACTGGATAAAGAAAATGTGGTACATATACACCATGGAATACTATACTGCCATAAAAAATGAGATCATGTTTTCTGCATGGACATGGATGGAGCTGGAGGCCATTAACCTTAGCAAATTAACACAGGGACAGAAAACCAAATACTGCATGTTCTCACACATAAGTCAGAACTGAATGATGAGAACACATGTACACATCGTGGGGAACAACATACTCTGGGGCCTACTGGAGCGTGGGAGGAGAGAGAGGATCAGGAAAAATAACTGGTGGATACTTGACTTCACAACTGGGTGATGAAATAATATGTACAACAAATCCCCATGACACAAGTTTATCTATGTAACAAACCTGCACATGTACCCCTGAACTTAAAATTAAAGTTAACAAAAGAAAAGATAGTCCCAGCTACTCGGGAACCTGAGGCAGGAGAAAGGCGTGAACCTGAGAGGCGGAGCTTGCAGTGAGCAGAGATCAGGCCACTACACTCCAGCCTAGGCGGCAGAGCAAGACTCCATCTCCAAGAAAAAAGAAAAAGAAACAGGAGAATGAAAAAAAGCCAGTCATGTAAAATACATGACTAGAACATGAAGAACATGGGAGGGATGGTGATACGAGGTGAAGATGGAAAGACAATAAAGGTCCAGGCCATGTAGGTTGTTGTAGGCTCTTACAAAAATTTTTAATGTTGGCCAGGCATGGTAGCTCATGCCTGTAATCCCAGCACATTGGGAGGCCGAGGCTGGCAGTTCACTTGAGGTCAGGAGTTCAAGACCACCCTGACAAACATGGTGAAACCCCGTCTCTACCAAAAATAGAAAAATTAGCTGGATGTGGTGGTACGCACCTGTAATCCCAGCTACTTGGGAGGCTGAGGCAGGAGAATCGCTTGAACCTGAGAGGAGGAGGCTGCAGTGAGCCAAGATGGTGCCACTGCATTCCAGCCTGGGTGAGAGAGTGAGACTCCGTCTCAAGATAAAAAAAGTAATAATAATGTTACGTACAACAGAAAGTCATTGAGGAGATTTAAGCAAATGACTGGCACAATTTAGTCTTAGAAAGGATTATTCTGGCTGCTCATTTTTCTGGATAATCAATTGAAGAAATCTTATAAGGAAACCTGTAATAATCTAGTAAGAAATGATGATGACTTCTCTGTGACTGGTGACAGTAGATATGAAGAGAAGTGGTCACAGTCAGACATATTTTCCAAGTTGAATCAACAGTACTTGCTGATGGACTAGATGTGAGTAGTAAGGTAGAGAGAGGAATCAGGGTCTACTCCTAGGCTTCTAGTTTGAGAGCCTAGGGCATTTTGACAGCATTAGTAGAGATGGGATAGACTAGTACATAAACAGGTGAGGGGCAGAAGAAAATTAATGATCTTTTGAAAATGCAAAATTTTAGATGCTTTGGAGGTATCCAAGTAAAGATGTCAAACAGGAAAGTGAATATGTAAGGTTGGACTCAGGGGAGAGTTTTGGTTTAGAGATGTAAATTGAGGGTCATCAATATATAAAATATTTAGAACGCATGAAATCACCTGGAGAGGAAGTATAAATATTGCAAAGGTAGAGCTAAAAAGTAAGCTCTGCTGAGGGGCCAGGTTTGGGAAAAGCCAGCTATGAAAAGGAGGCAACCCAAAAAGAAGGTAAAGTGAGAGTATGTGATGTCAGAGAGGCCAAAAGAAAATGTTTTAGGTACTTTATTTTTAAAGACATATAAAAGGCTTACATATTTCAGAGAAAAAAATGTATCTGATTCACATGGAAGATACTATATTCCATGTACACTCTATATACCCTGAAGATTTCTGACACAATGGCTATGTCTTTGAGAGTGTCTGTAAGTGTGGCAAATGTATACCAATAATCCTTAAAACAGCCCTAAAATGTAGGTACAGGCTGAAAACCCCTACATAAAATGCTTAGGACCAAAATTCAGATTTCAGAATCTTTCAGAGTTTAGAATAGTTACATTATACTTACTTACTGCTTGAGCGTTTTCCAAATCCTAAAATCTGAAACTGGAAATATTCCAATAAGAATTTCCTTTGAGTGTCACACGGGTACTCAAAAATCCAGCAATTTTGGAGCATTTCAGATTTTCAATTTTTGAATTTGGGATGTTTGAACTGAATTATTACCTTCATTTTACAAATGATGTAATAGGTTTTGATAAGTTAAAAACTAGCTGAACACTTAGAAAATAACGGAGTTGGAATTTACGCCTATGCCTGTTGATTCATAACACATTGTTTTAACTATTCCTTGCTGCTTCACAGCCCCTTCCTACCAAAAAAATAAAAGATATTACCAATGT